AAGACCAAATTCCCACCTAAATATCCCCATTTGTGTGTCCTCTCTTCACAAATAAGACCCCAATCCCCCATTTGTGTGTCCTCTCTTCATGAATAAGACCCAAATTCTCCCCTATTTCCACGCCAGCCCGACCTCCGTCCTTTACACCATTTCAGGGCTCTGAGCGATGGCAGGCCGTGTGTTGGGACCGTGCTGCAGGTCATTGTGAGCAGACCCGTGGGGAGCCCACAAGAGGATATTTACCACCGTCAGGAACAGGAGGTAAAACTGTTTATTGCAGTCAATCTAATGTTGTTATTTAAAACAGAACGAAAGCAAAATGGACGGGACAGGCCTGGGAAGCAGGGCTCCTGCAGAGACAACCCTTGGGTTCCTGCATCCTGCACAGCTCAGGAGGACTTCTAGACATCTTCTGGGCTCTCCTGCAATACAAAATGTGGTATCACTGCTGTTTATGGCACCCTGTGTGACATGGCATTGCTGGGGATGCTCGGTCTCCAAGGATGAGCTGCACCAGAGCCCCTCCTGTCTTTGCTTCTGCTCGCTGAGCTGGGCTTTCCCTCCAACCCTGCTGTCTCAAGGCTTCCCTGCTGCTCTCCTGTCTTTGATGGCTTTTTGCATTCATCATCATGGGTCCCAATGTCCCTCTATGGGTCCCAATGTCCCTCTATGGGTCCCAATGTCCCTCTATGGGTCCCAATGTCCCTCTATGGGTCCCAACGTGTCTCTATGGGTCCCAACGTGTCTTTATGGGTCCCAATGTCCCTCTATGGGTCCCAATGTCCCTCTATGGGTCCCAACGTGTCTCTATGGGTCTCAACGTGTCTCTATGGGTCTCAACGTGTCCCTATGGGTCCCAACGTGTCCCTATGGGTCCCAACGTGTCCCTATGGTCCCACTGCTCACTGCAGCAGGCTGCCCATGGAGGTGGTGGAGTCTCCTGCTCTGCAGATGCTCCAGACCTGCCTGCATGCCGAGCTGTGCGACTGCTGTAGGAACGGCTGGGCAGGGGGTTGGACTGCATGAGCTCTGCAGCTCCCTGCCAACCCCTGCAGTTCTGGGATGCTGTGATTCTGTGATGTGGCTCTGGGCAGCCTGGGCTGCTGCTTGGCGACCTGCACACAGCAGGGCTTGGAGCTGGATGAGCATTGAGCTCCTTTGCAACCCAGGCCGTTCTGTCATTCTATGTTATGATACGATTCTCTGTCTGCGCCTCTAAGTTCACTTCTCTGTGAGCCGCAGAGGATTCTTCAGAAGTTATGTGTCGAGCTGACACCATCACTGCTCTTCTTTTTGTTCTGTTTTCCAGCTCCATGCCTGTTTTCTTTTGTAACCAGAAGAGAGAGGATATCTTTATATCTTTCTTCCGGCCAGCTTATCCATGGGAAAGCTGATCTGTTGCAACTGCAGCAGCTCTGGTGGAGTTGGGTGAGCTGCATTCCTGCAGCACGGCACGGGCGCTGCAGGAAAACCCCACGGCCTGAGATGGGAGCCGACCACAATGCCTGGCAGCCCCTGCTGGCCTCTGCCATGTCTGACTTTCATCGTTGTTTTTTTTTTTT